TGAGCTGAGCAAGGAAATATCCCTTCTTCAGAGTTTTAGCCCTGAGTAGGAAATCTTGCTTAGTTTCCCAAAGACAAGAGATGCCTTCTAGAGAGGACAAAAGCTTTCCTGAGAGCTGGGTCCCAAATGCTTTTCTCTGATTTCTGAGAGATTGCTTTGTAAAGGTAGTACCTTCCTCTGCAGATCTCCAGATGCTGTCTCCCTTGGGCAAAAATGCTTAAAATTAGGTTCAATCCCCATCTCTTCTTCCTCCTCCATCCTCAGTCTCTTCTTCCAGAATATTCCTCTTGATCTCAGTCGGCCATCTCTACTCCACCTCCTTCTTTTGAGTCAGCAGAGCATGAGAACAGATGTGAGGTTCCCACAAATATATGCACATATGGATGCATCCCACACCCCTATGTAGATCAGCCCTTAGAATCTGTCCCCAGCTGGTTCTGTCATACCCAGAGCCCTTGTCTTGGGGTAGGGTGGGAAGAAAGGCAGAAATGGGAGTCATAGGATCATATAATCCACTATGGTACATTATGTAATATTGACTTATTTCCCTTTATCATATATCATATATATGATAGTGGAAAAGCCCAAAGTTGGAAAGGTTGGAAGATAATGGATCAGCTGTTGGAAGATTTTAGGAGATATTTGCAGCCCTTATGAAGAGTGGTCATTTGATGCTTAAGCCATCAAAATAAGCATGATTCTCCTTTTCACTCAATGCACTTTAGCAAAGACTATAATTATCTGTTTTAGTGGTAACGTGCTTAATCTGTATTTCTCAGGTTGCACATGACACATGAAATTCCCTCAGGGCAGTTACCATGCTTATTTTCAGTGATGTATCACCAAAACCAGAACTTTGTTGTGCAACTCCAACTGACAGATGAACAGAACAACTGTGTTAAGTAAAGGGGACCCACCTATTCACTGCAGAAGCACTGATGTCCCTTTGTATGGTAAACTTTTCCACCACCTTTTCCAAAAACTTCTAGTCTATACATGTTTGCTGCTGATCCTATGTTCTGTGATGCTTAGCTTAGTTTTGTATCTAAAAGTTTGATGAGATATTACAGCAACTTCCAGCAACAAACTTTGAGCTTACAAATTATTTTACAGTGCAGTGCTTAAAGTTTTTAAATCCATGATTTTTGTGTATTTGGGTTTTTTTTCGCTTGAAATTGTATCCTGGGAAACTTCTCATGAAATTATTTAATTTTTAAAAATACATTTAAAAAAAATTAAAACTATACTAATTTTTAAACTAATACATAAAACTTAAAAGTTGTACATAGTTATGGGGTACAAGGTGATGTTTCAATATATGTATGCATTATGTAATATTTTCCAAGTTAAACATATAAGAAAGTTGATCTCATAGAGGTTACAGGGAGCTGGGGAGTCCCCAGAAGGAGGGAGGAAGGGAGGCTCTTAGTAGTTACTCTATTAGCCAGCTTTTCATCACTGGGGGAAATACCTGAGATAATCAGCTTATAAGGCATAAATATGTAATTTGGGCTCATGCTTGGGATGTTTTGTTGCTAATAATTTTCCCAAATCTTGGATTCTATTTTTCCCAGAGAAGAGTCAATAATGATACCACAGAACAACCGGTCACAGTGACAAGCATTTATATCAGTGAACAAATGAAGGGGAGAACCAGGAGTGTCCACTCCCAAAGCACCCCACCCCACGCGCGCGCGCGCGCGCGCGCGCACACACACACGTAAGCAAAAGGAACAAGATTTTACAGAATTAGAGTGGGGAGAGACCAGCAGGCAGATGAATGGGTGGAACCTTCATGAGTTTTCCAGAAAGTTGTCACTGTGTATCCAAGAACTCTCCCCCTGCTTAACTGTCCACATCTGATGAGTCATGGGGGTTGCCATAGAAATTGTGAACTGTCAGGTGATAGCAGGTGGGAGTTTTTCTAGGGAAATGCATTGAAATGAAGTTTGGAGGGCAAGAGGGCATCCATGCCAGCTTAGGCCCGTTTAGCCTTGCTGAGCCAAACCTCCATACCTGCAGGTCCCTTGGTTTTATTTCTTGCTTTTCTATTGAATCCAGAAGTCTCACATCTCGGATGCAGATCAGGCATTCCCAGCACATGCGCAGATCACACTTGATGCAGGAAAAAGGGAGACAGATGGTGAGGCAAGAAGAAGGGAAACAGGAGGGTCTGGGAAGGGGCTCGGTAACAGTTTCAGTGAATGATCATTTGGTCCCTCATTTTGAGTCTGGCAGCAGAGAATTTGTGACTGAGGATGCTGCTCACCTCATGACAGCAGGGAAACAAAGAGAGACAAGAAGGAGCTGGGGTCCTAATATCCCCTTCAATAGCATGCCCCCAATATATATAACTTCCTTCCTCTAGGCCCTGCCTCCTAAACCCGCCAATAGCCGACTGGCAGGCAACCACACAAGTAAGTAGAATTGCTGAACAAAAGATAATATTCTAAAGTTCTTAAAAGAGCTTTAAAACTGCTTTGCAGAAAGCCTGTACCCTTATATGCATCTAACATATAAGGTCATACTGTGTATTTAAATTTTGCTTACATGGAAATTGGTGTGTATTGAAATTCAAAGAGCTATATAAACCCTTTCTGGTATGTCTGAGTTACTGTGGCTCAACAAAAATGCAGCAGGCTGCTTTTGTTTGGGGATGTAAAAGTTCATGACAGTTATTATCTTCCTCAGGACTTGTAAACAGTTATCAGTTGAAGGTTCTGTGCCTGAGAACTCACTGCAAAGCCATCAAGGAAGTTCTGGGAAAGCCATCCACAATGCAGTGCCACACTGTTGAACTCCCTGGGAAACTACTTTTGGGAGGTGCATGGGGGAGGTTCTGTGCCACAAGAGCCTGCTGGGACAGGAAGAAATGCCCCTTCCTCCCCTGAGGTCACTGCAGCCAGAGACAAGGAAGTTCAACGCCACAGCTGCTGGCGAGGAGGCACTGTTCCAGCACCACACACAGGCAACCAAGGGAGGGGAGCAGAAAGGCAATGGATTTAATAAGTGGCACAACCTCTAGATGAGATACCTCATCTCATCCTATTTGCTTCACTGTGCTGCGGATTTTTTAATATTAACATATTATTATTTCAGTGATCTGGTGAAGATAAAAGCTGTGCTCAGTCTGACATCTTGGACAGGAAGTTTCATTTTAAAATATCTTTAAAGCAAGAATTGGGGAAATATGAAACACTGGCAGTAACATGGCTTTGAAATTAGGTCACTTGAATTTGAAGCCCATCACAATTAGCTAAATGGTTAAGTTGTGGAGCTGAAAACTCAGATAGCTTAGCTTCAAAAGCCAAGCTACTACATTTAAAAAAAAAAAAGCCATGTTTCTGAAATGCTTCCCTGAAAACGGAACTGAACTGACTGACCTAACGGTGTAGCAGTGCCTAGCATGGTATCTGAGGACAGGAGGTGCTGATGGATGAATAGCAATCAGTAAGATATCCTCCTGACAGATGTGGCTGCAATGGCTGGCAGGCAGTTGACAGATGCCAAAGTTGTTCTTCCTTTTATAATTTGGTTAAGACTGGTGAGCACTTAATATGCACAATAATCTTAATAATCCAAGTCCTAGGAATACACAGAAAAAGAACTCAAGTTCTTGTCCCTCAAGAAACTCACATTTAATGAACAAGACTGATAAGTAAAAACCTATTTCAACCTGCATGTATATAAAGGCAAATGTAAGCTGTGATTATAAGGCATAACCTGTAGATTCATCCTGACTTGGCTGCAGTGCTTTTGGGTTATAGCTACCATGCATAACTCTGGTCTCTTTCCCCCCACAGTTTCCCAACATGTCATAAATAAATAAAGTGGTACATGGAGCTTTACAACTAGACACTATGCTGTCAGCACCAGGAATGTGCCTACAGTCTTTGGTATTAGCTTGAGATAAGCTAGGTACACTCCAGTTTACATCAAGTCACTTTTGCCCTGGTCATAATACATGCCCCTACTTCTGACCCAAAGAGATACAGCTGGTCTTACTGCTGTCATGACCATGCTTCTGTCAGCAAATTCCTAATAATCTGCACTCTGCGTGATCCTGGATCTGTCTTCCTCTTTTCTTTGGTCTCCCAGCACTTAGAGAATTGTCCTCACCCATTGGGACGAGGTTGTTTCCAAGCATATGTAAGATTGCCAACACACACTGTTCTGAAATGTTAATCCTGGGTTTAACCTGGGTTTTAGTTATCTTTTGCATCACTGTGATCAAAAGACCTGAAAAAAACAATTTAGAGAAGGGAAATTTTATTTTGTCTCACATTTTCAGAGATTTAGTCCATGGATGGCCGACTCCATAGCTCTGGGCCCGAGGTGAGGCAGAACATTATGGCAGAAGGGTGTGGTGGAGGAAAGCATCTCAGGACATGGCAACCAGGATGCAAAGAGAAATCTCTGCTCACCAAGGACGAAATAGAAATCCAAAAGTGCACCCAGATGACCTACTTCCTCCAGCCACACCCTACCTATCTATAGTTACTGCTCAGTTAATCTGTATCAGAGAATTAATTCACTGATTGGATTACACCTCTCCTAATCTAAGAATTCCACCTGTGAACCATTCTTTTATTGTCCCACACATGAGCATTTTGGGGACACTTCATGTCTAAACCATAATGATACATAAAGATAAATAAGAGTTAGAAAATAAGAGAAATTGCCTTTTCCAAAATACCAGAGCACTGAGCAGGATAAAGCAAGTTACATTTGGGGAAGCTGAAATAGTCAATAAGGCAAAAGCATTGAAGGAGAGATAAAGTAGTGAAAGATGAAGGTGGGAAGGTAGAGCAAACAAGGGGCTTTATGGCAGAAAAGTGATATGCTCCCATTTGTGTTTAGGAGAAAAAAATTTGCCACATTTAGATAAAGTATTAATGAGAAATTGATGTGGGAATGTTAGGAAGCTGCAGCAGTGACATAATTGATAAATTGTGAGGGCCTAAACCAGGACCACCACCCGTTAAGACTTCACTTAATGGGGATCCATGCTCCTGAAGTTATACCATGCACAGCTTGCAGAATCCTGGATCTAACTCAGACAACCTGGGGAGGATGAAAATGTGGCTACAGATTTGAAAAATATCTGTGAAATGCAAGTGACAGAATTTGATTAAAAAGCAAAGAGGAGACAGCAATGATACTCGATTTCTTACAAAAGCAAATGCTTACACACGGCACCAATCATTGTGATAGGGAGCATTAGAAGAACAGCATAATTGGATGAATGATGAGATTAGATTTGAGAAATGTTGATTTTGAGATGTCTGAAGACGATCTGGAAGCATACATTCAGTAGG